ACTAAGTGGTACTACTGGCCATTTTCTTAGTCCTATTCAACAATATGAAACAGGTCATGCAGTGTAGTATAAAATACAGGAAGTTTTAGAAGGAAGAAATTCAACTCTCAATAGCCATAAGAAAAAATGCTCAAAAACACTAATAATTAGAAAAATGTAATTAAAGCACCTCTGAGGTTGCTCACCTCATTAGATTGTCAAAGTTGAAAAAAAAAGGAAAATGATAAATGGTGGAGAGACTGCTGAAAAACCTGTACCATAATGCATTGTTGGTGGAGCTGTGAATTAATATAGTATTGTTATTTTGGAAAGTAATTTGAAACTATGCCTCAAAAAGTCACTAAATTGTGCATACTCTTTGACCAGAAAAACCACTACAAGGTTAATAGCTTCAGAGAAATCAAGGAAAGAAAAAAAGGATTAATATGTATAAAATATTTCAAGCAAATCTTTTTATATTAACAAAGAACTAGAAACTAAGGGAGTGTCTATCAGTTGAGGAATGGCTGAACAATTTTTGGTATATGGATATAATGGAGAGCTATTGTGCCATAAAAAATTATGAAAGGAGTGGTTTCAACAAAACCTGAGAAGCTGTGTATGAAGTGGTGAAGGGTAAGTGAGCAAAACTAAGAGAACAGTTTCTACAATAATCACAACATTATACAAACAATTTTGAAAGTCTTAAAAACTCTAATCAACACAACTACCAGACATTTCAGGGAATCTGAGAAGAGGGCTAACTTCTGACAAAGAGTTTAGGAACTTGAGGTTCAGAATGAAACATATTTTTTTTGATATGGCTAACTAAGAATTCTTAAATGGAGTGGGGGCGGGAAATGAGGAAAAGGACATCAGTTTTTGGTAATTAAGAAGGAAATTGATTAAAAAAAAAAGCAAAGAAAATTAAGAACCAGGCATAGACCAGCCTACATTCATTATATTGGTAATGCTCCACCTAACACCAGAGATTACTCTAGGAAAATACCAAGTTCTTTATGTTTCTCATCAAGTTCTCTGCCTCTGTCCCCTAGCTCCACCCCTTCATAAGTGGTAGCCCTTCTCTTATTAATCCATGTATTATCTAATGAGCTATTTATGATTCTTTCTCTCATCCACTGAGAAAAAATTCCAAATACTTTCTTTGTGCTGCATTTTCACTCAGTCACACTAACCTAACTTAATAGAGAAGAGCACATAAACACAATTTGACATAGGGAGTTTTCTTTTTTATTCATATCCAAAAAAGAAAAGAAATGAAATCAAGTACACTAAAATGACTCCCTTATAGTTTACATGTCCTTAGCTTCTTCCAGACCCATGAAGCTTCAAGGGAGTTTCAACTTTCATGTAGCCTTTAACTAATTTATTTGTTGTTGTGGTTGTTGTTCAGTCATTCAGTTGTGTCCAACTCTTCATGACCCCATGGACCATAGCTTGCCAGGCCCAGGATCTTTCCACTACACCACCTACCTGTCCTGTTTAACTAGTTTATAGGCATAGCCAAATCCAGGAGTTCCAGGAGCACACTTTAAATACTTGCACTCCTACCCCACTCTCTATCTCTTGCTCACCCCCACAGCTTGTACATATTCCCAACACTGTTTACCATTCACTCCTGGCCTCCAATAAAGTCAATGTCCAGTTGTTTGTGAGATTTAGAGTCTGGAGTATCTTAATCTCTTCAAAAGAAGCCATGGGTGATCTAGATTTGGAACCTAATTCCTTCCCTTGCTGATCAGGTCTGACAGTCAGATGTCCACTTTCCTAGGCTATGCTCCCACCTTTTCCTGCCTCACAAACCCCAAGGCCTAGCATGGCTCTCAAAACTTCATCACAATGGGGTTATAAGGCCAGAAGCAGGCTGTCTCCATATAGATGCTATCTTGTCTTTACAATGCTGTCTCTTAGAACTACTTCTCAAACTGGCACATGAGGTTTGCTTTGCTTAGAGTGTAGTTTATATCTCAGATTCAAAAGTACACCCTGGGTCTGCACACATAACATTATAGGGCATGACCCCTCACCATGAATTCACTTTTAATAGTTAGCCAGGAGACAGAATTAATTCAAAGCAAACACATTTACTAAGATAATATAAAACAATAGTGGCTATGATCTCCCTTCATGGACTTTCAGAAATACACATAGAATCAATGGAAATAATGGGCAAAAACTTAGAGGACAATACTTGTGAGGCACAGTCCTAGGGAATACAGATGGTCAAAGCAATTCATGCATGACTCCACTACTGCAAGGTTCTGAGGTCTTTGAATTTCTGGCAATGTCCTCGCCCAGAATTCCTCTTAGCCTGGAATATGTGCTATAGGACACTGCTGCTAGGGCAGGCTTGTTCCTGAGACTCTACTACCTTCACCTTCAGGCTTACATTCAATCTTTGGCTAGAGTACTGCTCTGTTGTCTCATAAAAGGCAAGGGAGATGCCTCTCTGTCTCTGTCAGGAGGCTGTCTTTGAAGTCTGCCACACTGGAAAAGAGGCAGGAAAGTAGTTACCTGGCGAGCTCAGCCCTTTAGACTTAGCCTTGCTCTTTTTTTTCTTTCTTCCTTTCTCTGTTTTTCTGTCATTCTTTTCTTCCTTCTGTCCTTCCTTCCTTTCTTTCGTTCTGTCTTTTTTTTTTCTCTCTTTCCTTCTTTGGATAAAATAATATAATGCTACTCAGAAAAGGTAGGGATTGGAGCCCAGCAGAGAACCACTCCAACCTAAGGAAAATTCATATGGACCTCATAACGGGAGAAAAAAGACTTCAGCTAAGACCTATGAATATTCCTTTTGCCACACATGCTCTGTAACCATTAAAGACCACTTTTGTCTGGACTCTCTGTGTACTATTGGTAGAGTGTGCCTCAAACTCTTATGGGGAATATTATGTATCAATTATTCTTACCATGCTACCTTGGTAAACACTGTTAATGAAAATTCCTTGTACTGGCTAACAAATTGACATTTTCTCTGACTGTCCCACATGCCTGGAACACTCTTTGTCCTCTGCTCCAACTGCTGATCTCTCTGGCTTCCTTTAAGTCCCAACTAAAATGCCACCATCCCCAACTCTTAATTCTAGTACCTCCCCTCAGTTAATTATTTCCTACATGTCCTTGCTTGTATCGCTTGCTTTCTTTGTGTGTGTATATATATACATATTTACATATTGTGTCACTCACTAAATTGTATGCTCCTTGAGGGCAGAAATTATTTTGCCTCTTTTTGTATCACCAGCACTTAATACAGTCCCTGACATATAGGAGGTGCTTGATAAATGTTTATTGATTATTGATTGATAGATATCAACTGATTTAGAATTGTTTTTGCTATGAGGACTCTTTTTTGAGTGTTGTACTTGCTCCAATGTGGTAATTGTTTACAAACTTGGTTTCTTTGTTGGGGTGCCCAACTATCTCTGAATTTATGTTAAGAAAGGAATTCATTATTTTCATATTAATCAATATGATATGTATAATGAATATACTAAAAATACAGTTTTCTCAAGAGCTGCCTCTCTTGTGTGGGAGTTAGAGCTCACAATACAGCTTAAACTGATTAATCAAAACTGACAATGCTCACAATCACTGGACCTTAAATGAAGAGAATCAAAGGTTGTAGAACTGGTTCTTGTCAGAGAATTCTGGTTCAGTCCTCTAGGGGAGGTGGTCATGACCCCCAAAGACTTGAATCCAGAATTGTTGCATTGTGAGACTTGTGGGTTTCTTGTGGGAAACCACTGAGATTTTTGTAATTCACCTTCCCCTGCTTCTTCTTCACTTGTGATTTCTAAAAAGTACAATAGGGAGTTGACCATCTATCACTAAAAGCATTCAAGTAGAGGCTTGATGATCCCTGGATAGAGATGTCATCAAAGGAATTTGTATGTGTGGCAGGGGGTCACACTGAATAACTCAGGTTCTTTCTTTAGAGTTTCTTCTTCTTTAAAATAAGCTGCATGAAGCCTTTCCTGGTATTCCCCACTGCTATTGCTCTTCCTCCCAACCTACTTGTATTTAAGCTTTGTATATATTTATATGATTAACTTTACATTTATTCTATCTATCTGTCTGTCTATCCATCCATTTGCACTTGTTATCTCCTTCTTTAGGAGAAGGGAAAGGGAAAAAGCAATTATCAAATACCTACTGTGTGCCTACTATATGTGTTAAGCACAACAAATATTATTGCATTTGATGCTCACAACAACCCTATTTATTATCTTCATTTTATAGATTAGGAAAGTGAAGCACAAAGAAATTAAATGACTTGCCTAAGAGTCACACAGTAAGAGTCTGAGGCTGGATTTGAATTCAGGTTTTCCTGACTTCAGGCCAAATGCTAGATAGAATAAAAAAAGAGAATTGGAATTACATTAGACTAGAGGATCCTTATGTATAGATGTTGCTTTATCCTTGTGCTTCTGCCTAGGCACTCCCTGGCATTTAGTAAGCACATATATAAATACTTATTGACTGATTTTGTAAAAGTCAAGAGATGCCAAATCTTGCTTACCTGAAATTCTATTTGCAATCTATTCTAATTCCATGGTGTAATGATGACTGTCATTTACAGTAATAATCCCGGGAGACAGCAATTGTTCTATAAATGTGAGTTGAATTTAGTGTAAGCTGAGTTGCTAGGCATTGTCCCCAGATCAAATCTGTGAAGTTATCTCCTTTCCTCTCCTCTTCTCCTCACTGCTCCTAATCCAAATGGTTTTTGGTAAGTGTGGTTACAGTAAAGATGATATCTGAAGTGAACTTTGAAAACACTTCTAGAGGTCTTATCGTACAGAGAGTTCTTTAAAGTGGAAAATGCGTTTTCATGAACAATCTCTCAAAGACAGGAGCAATGTGGGTGCTGATGATGCCAAAGCTTGCGCTTATCAGTAAGAGAGATCCTGTGTCTTAACTGATAAGAAAAATGTTTGCATTAATGAACATAAGGGTGAGAGTTACTTGACTTAGAGAAACTTAAGTTTTGTTGGAAGAAGGTAGGAGAAGAAAGCAACTGATCACTTTGGATGATGGTAAGTATGCTTTGAGGTAGCATAATTCTTCTGTATTTATTATTCACTTTTTTTAGACCTGAATGGAATATAGTTGTAAAATGAAACATCTCTTGCAGATAGAGAAACAATATTTGCAATCTATGTTATATTGTAGGTAATGTGGCCAAGGGTATAAAGAGTTGGTCTCAGGGCCACAAAGATCTGGGTTCAATCTCTGTTACTGCTGTGACCTTGGGCAAGTCATTAATCTTTTCAGTGCCCCAGGCAACTCTAAGATTATAACTTGTAGAACAGTTCGTAGAACAAAGTAGTATTCATTAGTAAGGGAGTCTGTCACCAAGAGCTAGCTGTGCTGATGAAATCATAAGTCCAGTGCAAAAATATTTATTATGCCTATGAAAAATGCAAGTGTGGTGGTAGTAATATTGGCACAATTTTAGAGATGTAAGAAACCCCAGCTATTTGAATTGAGAATAGCTTCAAAGTTTTTCATTGATTAGGAGCTCTGGTCTGACTCTTATAAAAAGATCTGGTTAGCTCTCTATGTATTCAAGACTGTATGTGTGTATTAAGTTTGAGTTTATTTGTTAATTTTTTGGTCCCAGCGTGAAGACTTCTTCCACTAATGCAGACTGGCAATTTTTACCTAACATAGTCTTAGACTTGTTTGTATCACTGAGGAGTTGAGTGATCTACCCAATGTCACAAGATCAAATTCAGGTCTTGACTTTGTCTGGTTTTCTATCTACTACATCAGGTTGACTCTCTAAGGCAACTGAAGTATGTATGGTAGAACTCTCAGTGAAGCTCAAGGTTGTTAAAAATTCTATCTATCTTTCTATCAAGGTTATTAAAAAATCCTAGAATGGAACTTATCCACATGGTGGAAAAGTAATCAAAGCTAGAAGGGATTGAGTGGCAGAATGGGATTGTTACAGTCCAGGAAGTTGAGGAAAAGATTAAGTGGGTGATGAGAAATAGCTAGGAAGTGAGAGGCAAAGGAGTATGACTGTAGTGTTGTTCAGTCATGTGCAACTCTTCATGACCCCATTTAGGGTTTTCTTAGCGAAGATACTGGAGTATCTTCTTTCTCCATTTCCTTCTCCAGCTCATTTTACAGACAAGGAAACTGAGGCAAACAGGGTTAAATTCCTTGCCCACGGTCACACAGCCAGTACGTGTCTGAGGTCAGATTTTAACTCAGGGAGATGACTCTTCCTGACTCCAGGCCCAGCTCTCTATCCACTGTGTCACCTAGTTGCATTTGTAATGGTGTAGTTGTAGAGAATAGCAGGAGTCAATCAATCCTGATGATTGGATGAAGAGCATTATTCCCTTGAG